CTGAGAGAGCAGAGGGATTGCACTTGGGCAATCTGTGGAAGGAGAGGACAAAATGAGAGGAGGGGAGGACATGTGGGCTTCCAGCATTCAAGAAAGCATGCAAATGGGTGAAAAACAAGATGAGAGAGAAGAGTCAGAAAGAGGTGGGCGAGAGAAGGAAGGTTTTTTGTGCGCGTACACACACGCATAGATCGATCATCACGGCGCAGGGGCGTTGCATCAATCTAACATCCAATCGGAAGTCTGTCAGAAGAGAGAAGTATATGAGGGAAGCGACTGCACAGAACGACCACACAAGTCGGAGAGCAAGAAGTTGGGGAAAGAAGAAGGCCTCAACTCTTAGTGCGCACACGTCAGCCAACAAACCCACGGTCTACGACGCTAAAACGGGAAATTTGAAAGAACGTGCTGGAACCATTGACGACTCTTAAAAATGCGAGAGCAGACTGGTGTGAAAGGAGTGCTAATGTGAGAGCAGACTTGTGAAAGGAGCGCTAATGTGAGAGCAGACTTGTGAAAGGAGTGCTGTCCACTGCAAGAATGAAAAATTGGAAACTAAAGTACACAAACAAGCTGCGCGGATGCAGCCAAAAATAATAATAATAATAATAATAATAATAATAATGATAATAATAATAATAATAATAAATGATGGTCACAAAGTGCACCGTGAAGAAGTGAGATTCTCCTATTCTTCTCCAACGTACTCCACTCCCCGTCAGGTGAGTGGGAGAGAGGAGAGACAAGAGCGAGGTGGGGAGAGCTTGAGCACTGGAGACATTAATAGACCCGAAGGAGTTAAAACATTTATGATATTTATGATATTTATGATATTTTCTTTCTTTTTGGAGTGACTTTTTCGGAGTTTTTCCACTGTTGGGTGTTTTTCTCAGCGTCATCACTCTTGCCAGCTCACCATATGTGGTCTTCTCGCTGATGAGCATATTTTGTCCAAGGCCCATGGCACCACAACCCTTATTACAAAGGGGAATGTGAGTCAGCACGCAGTGCGCTGTTTTTTTTTTTTTTTTTTTTTTTTTTTTTTTTTTTTTTTTTTTCTCAGCCTCATCATTCTTGCAAGCTCAGCATGTGTGGTATTCTCGCTGATGATCTTATTGTCCCAGGCCCATGGGACCACAATCGCTACAAAGGGCAATGTGAGTCAGCACCTAGTGGGAAGAGTGTCACCGCTTGAAATGTAGTGATCCCAAAGACGGCAAATGGAACACTGTGACCAGATGCATGCTGAAGTCTGCGGGGTGTGGTTCTGACCATGTGGGGTTTGGTTCTGATCAAGGGGGGTTTGGTTCTGACCAAGGGGGGTTTGGTTCTGACCACGGGGGTTTGGTTCTGACCAAGGGGGTTTGGTTCTGACCAAGGGGTGGTTCTGACCATGTGGGGTTTGGTTCTGACCAAGGGGGGTTTGGTTCTGACCAAGGGGGTTTGGTTCTGACCATGTGGAGTTTGGTTCTGACCATGTGGGGTTTGGTTATGACCAACGGGGGTTTGGTTCTGACCATGTGGGGTTTGGTTCCGACCAAGGGGGGTTGCTTCTGACCAAGGGGGGCGGGGTTTGGTTCTGACCAAGGGGGGTTTGGTTCTGATGATGCTCCAAGTGCCCTAACAGCCTGGGCGCTGATCTTCTAAGAGCTTTGGAAAATAGTGTGCGCAAGAGAAGCCTTTCAGCGAGTGAGTGAAAAATGCTCCCTACAGACAGAACAGTCACTACAGCCTTCACAGTACGAGCTGTCAGACCTTCTGCAGTGAATACCTGCAGTCAATATGTCTTCAGAACATATTGCCTGCAGTACTAAAAACGTTGTACAATTTGAAAAGCGCAAGTTACGAGTGTGTTCCTCGTCGCAAGGTTTGGTAGGAGTATGGGATGAAGTGATCCTTCAACGGGAATGCTTGTACGAAGCCCCTAAGACATGAGAATAGCTCCTTGTAGATAGGTCAGAAAGTGTGTGCTCCTTGTGACCCCTTGGAAATGAGCATGCCTTGGCTACCCCTGACTAGACTTTCGTAGTCATGGTTTCTTCTTTCCTGAGCCTGAGATGGGACCTTTATCCTCCACAAAGAAGTCAAAATCGGCGCACTTAACAGCCATTTGCTCTAACCACTGAGCTACTAGAGACCTTTACCTAGCCGGGATGCCTCTGCACTCTGGATTGTCCGTGAAAATGCCTCTGCACAAGTGCACATGGATGCCATTACGGCCTGGTGCAGATGTTGCACCATGTTGTCTCGAGTGCACGCCAATGCCATTACAGCCTGGGCCTGGTGGATATGTTGCAGCTTGTTCTCTGCATGCTTCAATGCACCGTTTAGACTCTAGAGCCATTAGCACAGAGGCCTTCAGAGGTCCCAAAAAGAAATCTTGGACATTTGCTGGGTATGTATGTCCTCCTTGTGCGGGGGGGGGGGTGGCAACTTCGATGTTGATTTCCTTCTGTCCTGATTCCTGAAGGCCGTTCCACATGACATCGGTGTCTTTCATGTGACTGGTTGGTGGGAACTTCACAAGAAGAACTTGAAGGGAACGGTACTCGGTTGGTGCGATATTCATTTCAGCAAGGTCCCAATTACTTACGTATTTGTTGTTCGTGGCCGTTGATCTTTTGCCACCAGTCAGCAAGACCCTTGTGCGGACCTCTGCGCCGCATGCTATCATGAAAGAAATTTTTAAACCACGAGTACCTTTCCCATATATCGACTGCGGGAAAAAATAGGCTCGGCTGAACTCAAGCGTATAGGTAGTGGGCCGTCCATCAACTGAAAGTCGAGGCCGCATGCGTTAGCAACTTTCGGCCCTTGCTCGTGGACTGGTGCTCGGCACAAGACTGGAAATGGGGCATTGCCCCTCCCCGAATATCTTGGGGCCATTTCTGTATTGCAAACCGTGGTATAGTGGCAAACGGCACCTAACTGAGTAGTCATATGGGCCACTGCTGGATGTTTATGTCACCCCTGTGCGGGCACTGCATTAAAACACCAGTACTTTCGAGGCATTTCTTTCCGACCCTCGGAATGCCCTGCATGCCAAAAAAAAAAAACAACCAGCCCGGCGTCCTTTTGGCTGGCGTCGCCATCCATTTTGCTTCGGAGGCCGAGCCCTGACTGTTGCGGCACGTGCATGAAATGCCCCCACCGCCTATGCTTTGGAGGCCAAGTGCTTGTGGTTTAAAATCACCAGTACACCACATATCGGCCCGCGGGTGTCAGCATGAAACCCGCACCACTTCGGAGGCCGCCGATTGTTTTTTTCAACGGCAGGTCTGGCCACGCGGCCCCTGCTTACTTCATACGAGCAAACGGATGAGAACCCAAAAAAAATTGGACCATTTCTCGACTTACGCGTGTCATCCTTGCGCAGGCAGGGGCCATGCTGCTAATCTTCTTTCTCTGTATCGTTCCAACTTTAACGGATGTCCCGAAGGACGACGAGGAGGGGGCATGTCAATGTATATATTCAGCTGCACAGTCATGCATATGCGGGCTGGACAAACCTGCAGCAGTGACCTCCGTACGAACCCACTTTCTCACAAGAGAGAGGGCAACCAGACACCCGAACAACCATGGCCGCTGATTGCCGTATCGAAAAACGACATTGCTCCAGCTCTTCATTCCGCTGGCTGATGGGTGATTGACATGAGGCGGGCTGCCTTGACGCCCTAGGAGTGAGTTTCTTTTTCCTTCCTTTCCTTTTGGTCCAAAGTGAGGGCATACTCACACGAGGACCTTTCTACCATTTTCTAGGCCGGAATTGAGGCAACGTGCATACAGGCCCCGTCGTAACTGCAGTCTGGTACTCTCGAGATAGTGCTAGTGCGAGTATGTCCTGAGGGCCTCGCCACACCACTATCCAAACGAAAAAGAAGCACGAGGTTCCGTCTTCTGCATAAATTGGCAAGATGCATCCGTTTCTATCCATAGTAACGGACGCATCTCGCCACTATTTGCGGGAATATGCGCTTGTATTTTTTTTTTCCGTTTCGACAGTGGTGTCGCGAGGCGCCCAGAGGTAGCTATGCTTGCAGGGGGGAAGCATCTTGGCACTCTTTGCGGGAACATGCGCTCATATTGTTTTCCGTTTCGACAGTGGTGCAGTGAGGCAGCGAGATGTAGGCTATGTATGCTTTCAGGGGTCCCCTGTATAGACTTAGGAGTAGTGGCATCCAGGAGGTGCGGGGAATGCAAAAGGTGAGAAGAGGCCACAAACAGGGTAGGTGTGGACAAGCCCAAACTTGACTTTTGCCAATGCACCAATAGATGGAGCCTCTCCCCAGGTGCTAGTGGTGTCTCCTCTTACACCGG